GCGGCGCAACACCATTTGCGAAGTTCAGTGTGTAAGATCCGCAGGATATGATGTGCAGTCGGGGCGCCGTGGTCTGTCTTGGGTCTGGAAATCATGTCGCCTTGGGGCGCATTGGGGACAGCGTCTCGGCCAATTTGGGTTGCATTGTAGCATAAATCTGGCCTATGATAGCAACGACTCGGTGAGCGCGAGCTCCACGAACGTGAGTTCCAGCAAGAAGGTGAGCTCGACGAGGTGGCCCTCGATGCTATAGGCGTTGCGGTTCAAGGGCCATGTCGGCAGAGCCACCGCCCCCTGGGTGCCCGTCTCCCGAGCGCGGGCCTCCAGCCTGCCCGCGGCCGATGAGCTCGGCCTCGGATGGGGCCCCTGTCAAGAGACCGCCTCCGAAGGCGAAGCCGCCGCCGCCGAGTGCGCCCAACGGATGCCCGCAGCATCCGCCTGAGCCTCATAGCCAGGAGGCAGAGAACCGCGTTTACATGGTGGCCCTCCACAACAACGTGAAGACGTTGCACACGACGGTGTGCGGTCTGTGCGAGCATGCGAACTACTTGCAGAAGAAGGTCGAGACTCTGGAACAGGGGCTTCGCGCTCGAGACCAAGAGCGGGATCAAGAGATCAAATCCGCCATCAAGAAGTTCGACGAGGAAGCGACGACGAGGGTAAAAAAAGCGACGCAGGAAGCTAACGTTCCGGAGATTCCGGCGAAGAAGCAGCCGCAGATGTTCAGCATCGGCCTCACAACGGCAGAGACATCAACAGTCAAGAAGGACGAGCCGACGCCAGAGAGCGACCTCAGCGGGAGTCGGGTGGTACCAAACGGAATCACGAATGAGCACGTCGGGGGCCGCTGCAGCTTTCGCGGGGGGCAAGTCGGCGTCAAGGACAAGTCGAATACAACGCACGTCGGGGATTGCACCGTCGGCTCCAAGGAGAAGTCGAAGAAGAAAGACGGCAAGTGAGGGTGCGGCTGCCGGCCTTCGCTGCATGGTGCGTTACAGAGCACCTCGGCTGATGCAGCGCATAAGCGAATCCGCCTGCCTGCAGGCGCAGAAAAATCCAGCCCTCCACTCCTCATCCTCGAGCGAACCGCTCTACGTGTCGATGGCGCTCTTCCGATTTCTCGCAACGACGTGCTCAGCTTTGCACTGCCGCATGTTACTCTCGCATGTTAAGTGCTACATGGACAGTCGTGCCACGCGCACTGGCGTCGTATACTTCATCCAGTGCTACGTGCACATATTACGCTACGTAAGCAAACAAGACGAGCGGCATTGTGGACCATGTGGTCAATGATACATGCCTGTATCTCCGCATCTTTTTTCTGCTCAAGCGCGCGGGCTGGGTTTGCCCCGCGCGCTGAGACCATCCCGCGCGCGCCCTCCCCGCGCGCTGAGCCCCCGCCCCTCGGTGGGGATTCACCATGGCGCCCATCGCGGGAATTGTTCAGGAGATCCAGGACGTATCGCGTCCTGATAGAAGTTCGAGGCCGCGGCGAAAAGGCACTCAACGTCTGCGCGAACATGTGCAACAGCACCTGCTTGAAGATCGCTGGCCTGCAGTGGCAGGCAGGATTTGCGCTTCACTTCACCGAGGTGGCAAGATTTTAAACCATTTTGAGGATCTCTGCATGAGGCTCTGCACGGAGCCTCGCGCAGTGTCGATTGGAGGGGGGCCGGGGGGGATGCAACAGCCGATGCGATCGCATATCAGATCGCAATACCATAGGTGATGCAGAACAGCGTTCTGACGGACGCCATGAAGGATGCCCTTCAGGACGCCTGTGACCAACGGTCTACATCCCTCGCGGCGGCGGCTGCGGCGGGGGCCCCCATGCAAGTGCGCGGCGCTGGTGCGCCAGCGCGCGATCAGCTCCTGCGGTGCCCCAACAACTACCTCACGAACAAAGACTGGATTGCGCTCGAGAGACCTCAAGCCACCTGCGAGGAGCGCGACGAGATCGTCGTGATCAGGCTCGGCTCGGTTGGCGTTCGCCACGCGAACGAGGACGGGCTGATGAAGTGGGTCATGCGCCTCCTCATTGACATCTAGCAGCGGCTCCACGGGCACTGGCAGTCGTACAACGACATCTACAAGAGGGTAGCCTGTGGGGAAATTCGGACGCCCCCCCCCCCCCCCCCTCCCTCGGACGCCCAGGCCGCAAGAGCTACCAAGAGGCTGCCAAGAGGCTACCAAGAAGCCCAGGACGACAGCCAAGAAGCCACAACCAAGAGCCCCGAGCGAGGATATAGATAGACCCAAACATGTCTTACACTGCCCCAAAACTGCCACCAAGATGCCTCGCATGACGTGGTTTATGGGGTACCTGGTGGGTACTGTTTGAAGCAACGGAGGGGCGATGCACGAGATCCCAGAAAACATCCCATAGTTTTGGGACCCAATGATGTATATATATATATATATATATATATATATATGTGTGTGTGTGTGTGTGTGAATATGCCACACTACGCGTGAGATGTGTGCCGACATGCGCGTGGCGGGCGCATGAGGTGGTCTTCGGTGGAGCTCAGATGAAACGTGTTCGTTGCGAACGATATGAGCGAAAGATTTGGGGCGACATACCTTACCCCCCCCAACGGAACACGTGGTGATGACGACCATGACAACGGAAAGGGTGACGAGGTGGATGAGAAAACGGCTACCGAACGCCACGACCCAACAGTCCTGGATGGTTTGCACAGCTTTCTGCTAAACTCGCATTGGGTCGAACTTTATGATCTTTTACCTCGCCCAATGAGGTGAAGCGCGTGAGGTCGTTGTTCACCAACCAGCAGCCCTGGGTGGGCACGTACACCGACAGGTTCCCCGACGACCCCGTCGGCACGCACTTGATGAGTTTCTACTCGGCAGCAGATCCTCCGATCGCGCGGGCCAACCACTCGTGCGCGTACATCAGCCAGCACGTGAGACAGATGACCGCATGCATAATGCAGATCGGTCCGACCCAATGCAGCAAGCGCTTGCCACCTGCGTGCAGGCGGTCAGAGCGGCCTCCGCTGCAGCTGCAGCTCCTGGCAATGACCTGAACCTCACGTACGTGGGCAAGTACGCGCACTTGTCGCCCTCGGGGTCATCGCAGTGGTCGCGCCGTGGAGACTGGGACTCCCAGCAGTCATGGGATTCGTGGGCGAGCGAGCCCTGGCCGGAGAGCAGCAAGGCCCACTTCAAGCCAGGGCTGGCGATCGACAACGGGCCAGCCTCATCGGCAGCAGCAGCCCCCGCTGCAGCAGCAGCACCACCACCAGCAGCAGCAGCAGCAGTCGCACCTGCAGCAGCAGAAGACGAAGATACAGCAGCAGATGAGGAAGCTGGCTGGGAGGAGGCCGAGGGCACTGGCGAGCAGACCTTAGAGCAGTACGAGGAAGAGGCATTCACTCGCCTCAAGATGAGGAAGCCAGCAGCTGCTGCCACCAAGACAGGTGCTGCACCAACCGCGAAGAAAAGGCCCGCTGCAGCGGCCCTGCAGGGCGAGGCGAAGACGGTCAAATACACGATCAAGTGGGAGAAGGCCGACAAGAAGAGCACCAAGAACGCCTTCGCGTCGAGGCACTACGGCAGGGCCACGAAAAAGGCGAAGGAGCAGTTCCCTGGCATCAGCGAGCTCGACCTGAAGGCGACCATTCAGAAGGTCTACAGGGACGCGGCGGCGCTCTGGTCCAAGCACATGGGCTGAGGACCGCTTTCGGGCCCGCGCTCGCGCGGGCTCAGAGTTTTTAGGGTGGCCGCAGAGGGCATCTCGACCTCATGGCCACCGAAAATGAGCGAATGAGCGCGCCTGCCACGTCCTGAATGGGCACACGTCCTTTAGACAACCATGACACTGAGTCAATTAAGCCATTTCGGCCAAGTCCACGCGGACACGGCTTTATGACTATGCAGTCCTTCAGGCCTTGCGCCTCGGTCAAGTCCTCATGTGGACGCACATGTTTTTTGTATGTAGCCACTTTGGCTCGAGCCTCCTGGCATCCGCTGCAGGCGGCTGCAGCATCATCTACCGAACCCGCTGACGCCCGTGCACGACAATGGCGCCGAAGCGAGCAGTACGTAACATGCCTGCCCACGACAAGTGCATGCTGAAAGGCATGCAAGGCCCAGTTCCAAGCTGCAGTTGCGACGCACAGGGTCATGAAGAGCACGCTGCGTAAGCGGAAGGAGCACCTTGGTGGTCGGTCGCCAGCGTCCGAGACGAAGCTGACCATGGCTATGAAGAAGCACATCGACACGCTTGCGCCGCCGAAGAAGATGACGCACGCGTCGACGCAGACGACGCCCACGAAGCTGGGCGTCCTGCCGAAGCCCATCACTGCTTTCGGGGGCCTCGATGGCGCCTGGTGTCGTTTCACCTTGCCCAATGTCTACATTGGCTGCACGGCGCACGACGAGCAGCCCACCATGCCGAATATTTCAAACGGCTTCTGAGGCCGAGCGCCTCAAGGCCAGGCGCGCGAAGTGCACTGAGGCGATCTATGCACAGCATGATCGCGCGCATATGCGTCAAGGAATGCAAAGCGCACCTTGCGCGCTCGTTCATATATTGGACCTGCGCGAAGTCGTTGGGCCGATGAGCTGGGCGTGACAGGCGCCAGCGTTGCAGCGCTTCGTCGCGTCGCGGCCTGCGTCCATGGATGAGCAGCGGGATCTTGTTGTCTATAGCGTAAGTGCTGGCTCGTGTACAGTTTCCTTCGTTCAGTTAGGGCCGCTGCAAGCGGGTGAAGCCGCGTGGATATGTCTTGAAAAAGCAGATTCAAAAAGACGACCGAAGGTGACGAGCCATCGCGCTCAGTTGATGGAGCTTCGCTCAAGATGGAGCTCCGCTCAAGATAGAACCCCGATCAGGACGGAGCTCCGCTCAAGATGGAGCTCCGCGCTCAAGATTGAGCTCCGCTCGAGATTGAGCTCCGCTCAGGGGAGGGGAAGGGGAAGAGAGGACGCTGACGCTGATGAGGATGACGCGCACTTTCTGACCCCGCCCCAGGGGATCAGATAGCCCAGCGGTGCGCCACGGGCACGAGGGCATCCACGTGCCCGCCCGTGCGCTTCCTATACGGCACCGCCCCCAGGATGCCTGGCAACGGGCATGGGCACGCTGATCCTGAAGGGCGCCCCGATGCGAAGCCATTGCCTGCATCGGTTACGGGGGAAATCGCAACCAGAGCGCACCGCAGCTCGTCGACCACTGAGGCCGTAAACCAAACCTGCCCTAGCACAGGGGCCCCTCGCTCGGGCGTCATTATTACTACATCATTGGCGTGGGCGACCTCGAACTCGGACACCCTGGCAGACTTCGCAGTCATGCACGTGTTCTTCCGAGCCCGTGGGAGACCCAGCTCGGAGAGTATGAATTCTGCCACCTTGTCCTTGGCTGACTTCGGGTCCTGCAGCTTGACGCTGACATCGAATTTGTCGTGCACGCGCAGGTCGTGCAAGTGCTTGCACGTCACCTCGGACAGTGCGCTCTTCTCCATGGAAGCTGCGTTGCGCTTGCCCTCCGAAAACCCGGGGCAATTATGGCATCGGCCGATCGCTGCATCGCGGTCCGCCAATGTATGGCGCATGCGCCACATATTAGCGGAGCTGTGCGGCTGATGTCGTAATCACCCGAGAACCTTTTGACCATCTTGTGCTTCCTCTCGTGCGTCCGGCACGCTGACAGAGTGCCAGACCTCTTGTCCTCGATGACCAGGTGCAAGGTCCAGTGGAACTTCGGGCGCAGATGCGCGCCCCACCCTGCGTCCAAGCACGCCTGCAAGAACTTGTCCACCTGGACCCTGAGCTCCCGCGATGTCACCCTGCCGCGCGGCACGGCAATCAAGAGGTCCATGATGGACGAGCACGCAAGGTACGCCTCGCACTCCTTGGTGCAAATTCCTGCCCTCAGCCACACGTTCCGCGCGAAGTGCGCGATCATGCTGTGCGTAGAGATAGCTTCAGACGCAGTGCACTTCACGCACTTGGCCTTGAGGCGCGCTTTCCACCTGGACGGCGAGAAGACGTCGACGAGGGCGTCAGTCTTCGTGCCCATCCTTTATGGAAGATTCCACTGCCGTAGCAGGTCGTGGATCGCAGCAGGGGCGCGCACCTTCTGATCCAGCAAGCTCTTCACCAGAAGGCACAGCGTCGTGTTCCACGCGCCGTGCACGACGAACGTGCGCATCCAATCGTGAGCGAAACAGCTCACGGGCTTCACGACGTTGCGCAAGTCCCTCCCCAGAAGCAGGTTGAACCTGCAGTGGCTCATGCATGCAGCCATCTCTCGAAGCTTGAGCTCCCGCGGCCTTGTCGCAGCGACGACCGCCAACCTCTCGACGCTGCCTCGCAGCTCCTCGTCCGTCGCGAAGTCCATGGCGGAGCCGACGGTGATGGTGCACGACAACATGTCCTCCCCGTCCTCGCCAGCGATCCCGCTGGTCTGCGAATGCAAGTTCTTGCAGAGAACGCATGCCTTCAGTCCAGCATCGCCCTTCGCGCAGAAGACCTGCTTGTGAGCACCGCCATCCTGCAATATCATGGTGAGCTTCGCGAAGAGCCGCGTGCTCGAGCCATCTGGGAAATCCCTTGAGCCCGCTGGGTTCCGGCGGTTTAGCAAGCTGACTCTCTCCCTCTCTCCACCTGGGAGTGGTTCACCCGTCCCCTTATGGACCTGGTCAGGGCGCCCCGCGCGGTGTCAGATGGCCCAAGATGGCCGCGGCTCCGAGAGGGCATCCAAGTGTCCAAGATGGCCCAAGACGGCTCCGAGAGGGCTTCCAAGATGGTCCCATATTGTCCAAGATGGCCTCGAGTGTCCAAAAGAGCTATGCTCCGATGCCGATGCGTCCGAGGCGTCAGAGCCCCCTTCCGCCCCCTCCTCCCCGTCCTCATCCTCCTCTCCCCTCCTCTCCTCCTCCTTCCCTTCCTCCCCAACCTCCTCCTCCTCCTCCTCATCCCCCCCTTCTCCTTATACCCCCTCCTCCCCCTCCTCCTCCTCGTCCTCCTCCTCCTCCTTCGCGGGCGGAGTGCCGCGCACCCGCCTGTCACTAAGGCCCGGCGGCCCAGAGAAGGAGCACATGGTGCATATATGGGATGGTGGAGGGACGCGAAACGTCAATAATTCAGAACTACTCCCGCGTCGAAACTGTGGCCACTGGCGTTGAACAGCATCTTGAGCAAAGCTCCGAAGACCTGCGCGACGCCACCGCCGTAGTTCTTCACTCTATCAGACCGCTCAAACGCAAGGCATACCCACGCGTCTTCGTCCGTCAGAAGCGACCCGAACTGCATGAAGGACATGTACACAACCCAGCACTTACGCTGGTTGTGGCCTGACAGCTGGTTGCCTAGGACAACCTCGTCGGCATAGACCGCAAGGTCCCACGGCTCGCCCGTGGATGGAGGCCGCGATGCAATGACGCGCTGCGTGGCCTTCGAAGCCGCCGCCCGCAGCGCACGCCTCGTTGAGGAAGGCGAACGGGTTCACCACCATCATCTCGCCCCCCGACGAGCCGTCGCCGCACTCCATGGGCAGCTTCGCGAGCAACGCTCCGTACTCGCCGCTGCCGCGCATGATGAGGTCCCGCGCCTCCCTAAGGGCGCTGCGGTTCCTGACCTCTGGCGCGTCATAGACGCACTCCTCCAGGATGGCGCTCAGCGCGGAGGCCGACGTGCGAGGGACCCTCCGCTTAAATGCATCCAAGCGCCTAAGCTTCTGCCCCCGCTCTCGCTGTCGGCCGACGCATGACCAGCGCTTCGCGCGCGCGTGGGCGGCACGCGCGCGAGGAGGGCGCACCTCCTCGAGCCGAATGGCTGCGACCAACATCCTCATGAATGGACCAAGGTCCTCATGGACCGCACGCGACCAACGTCCATGGACCAACGTCCTCATGGACCGCGCGCGACCAACGTCCACATGGACCGCACGTGACCAACGTCCTCATGGACCAACGTCCACATGGACCGCGCGCGACCAACGTCCTCATGGACCAACGTCCTGGACCTGAGCAATGCTCGTTTAACCGATTGGTGACGCAACGTCCTGGACCTGAGCAATGCTCGTTCAACCGATTGGCGATGCATGGCTGGAAAGTCTTACAAACGACACGCCTAAAATGAATTCATAAAACCGTTCGGTAGCGTTTCGAAAATCATGCAAAATCAATTTAACATCGGCCAAACAATTTTATTCCGCACACAATTTCAAACTATGCGTTGTTTGACGTTTGCAAATCAGAGTCTACACGTCTCGACCCAACAACTTTGAGAAATGAAAACAGAGTTCCGCATGTCACAAAATCGGATCTGAAAAATGAAACCCGCTTCTCAACATGCTTTCATCCAGCTAGCAACATGTTTTGAACTTGAAAACATTTGGTTGTTGTTGAACAAAAATTGTTTTTTCATTGAGAAATTCTAAAGTTGTAGAATTGTAACACTAGTCTATAGAAGTATATAGAATATTATATATAATTCGATCTAATATTCTATATAATAGTGCTAACATTATGTAATTTTTATGTCATTTCATACATTATGATAAATTGTGGCAGAAAGAAGATTCATTCAAGTGGGGGCCCCCTGGGGGCCTGTTGGGGCTTCCGGGGGGCCTATTGGGAGCCTCACGGGGCTTCGTGGGAACCTCTTGATGGCCTCCGGGGACGTCCTAGGATCCTCTCAAGCCAGAGACCTTGAAATGTCGCGTTCTTCCGGCCCTCTTGGGTCGCTCTTGGAGCTCTCTTGGGGCGCTCTCGAGGCTCTCTTGAATTATCTGGGGGCCTCCTGGGACGTCTCTGGGCTTTCTTGGGGGCCTCTTCGGCCGTCTTGGTGCGATCTGAAGGGCTTCTGACGCCGTCCGGCACCGTGGGGAGGCGGAACATGCGAGAGCGCAAATATGCTTCAAAAACCATCAGAAAAATTATCATTTGGAGGGGCATCTGGAGGCGCTCTTGGGGCGTTTTGGCGGCGTCGTCGGCCGTCCTGAGGCCATCTTCGGCGTGTCCGGGGCCTCTTGGGGCTGTCTTGGCAATCTTTGAGCCCTCTTGGCGTGTCGTGGCGTGTTTGGGAGCGGGCCCGGGCAGTCCGGGGAGCCGTGGGACCCCCCCAATACCCCCCATGGGGGGATACGGCACCGGCCTGGGCCCCCCCCCGGCCTACTCCGATATATATATATATATATATATATATATATACACACATATACATTATATATATATATATTATATATATATATATATATATATATATATATACACACACGTATATGGAGGTCCGCGCGGACTTCTCTGATCGGCGCTGCGCCCCCCTGGCGGCGCCTCCGGCGCGGCGCGGAGCTCCAGAAGTCTATGGTGAAGGAGTCGGACGGGGCATTTACACGGATAGGGTAAGAACTGCGGCTCACGGTGGACTCTTCGCTGAACTTTATGACCCTACAGCGTCACCAATTGCTTTTCCAAACGGAGCTCCCGTCTGAATGGCAGGCCCATGGTGCCACCCATGGTGCGCCCTTCTTTCAAGATGTCGCTTCTTGTTCTTAAAAGGAAGGCTCGTAGAGGAGAAAGCTTGGGTCCGGAGGGTGTATTGCAGAATCGTTGTTTCATCCTGGGCTTACTCTGCGGGGCACGTTGCACAGACTCTGGTTGGCTGAACCGTAGGCAGCCTCCTCCTTCTCCTCAATCTCCTCCTTCCTCCTCCTCCTCCTCCTCCTCCTCGTCCTCGTCGTCCTCGTCGTCCTCGTCGTCCTCCTCCTCCTCCTCCTCCTCCTCCTCCTCCTCCTCCTTCTCCTCCTCCTCCCCCTATGGGGAAACTGACAGGTGACGGTGCCACTACTCTGCGGACCTCTCCCGGGGCGCGTTCTGAGCAAAATGTCGAGGCGAATCCACCGGTGGCGACGAGGGCCGCCCTGGAGGCCCAAAAAGGGGGAAACGAGGGAAGGGTAGCGGTATGGGTACCTTCTCATGATCTGATCCTCCTCCGCCCCTTTTTCCACGCTCTCCTCATTCCCCAAACAGTGCTTACACTCAGGGGTTCTTACTTGCGTCCTACGGCACCTGGGCCCCAGTGGCGGTCCAGCAGGCCCGTCGCCGCCCGTCGCCGCTGGGCCTCAGGGGGCGGTCTGGCTGGCTCGTCGTCGCCCGTCATCGCGTTGCTTTGCATTGGTTTGCATTACGTTGCATTACGTTGCATTGCGTTTGCATTCCGTTGCATTACGTTGCATTGCTTTGCATTACTGTGCATTGCCTTGCATTGCGTTGCATTGCGTTGCATTGCGCTGCACTGCGTTGCATTGCGGTGCATTGCTTTGCATTACGTTACATAGCTTTGCATTGCGCTGCGTTACTTAAAATTGCATGCATACATAGTGTTGCATTGCATTACATAGCTTTGCATTGAGTTGCCTGGCTTTGCATTGCCTCCCACTGTGTTGCATTGCTCTGCCTTGATGTTGATTGCTGTGGACCGCTTTCCATTGCTTTCCCGTGATTTGCACTGCGCTGCCTTGCGCTGCAGTGAGTTGTACGGTGTTGCATCCCTTTGCATTGCGTTGGACTTGTCTGCACTGCCTTGCGTTGCTGTGCAGTGCGTTGCACCACTTAGATTGCACCACCTAGATTGCACTGCAGTGATTGGATCACCCAGATTGCACCGCACACGCTGCCAAACATCACTGCCTGGGGCCCGCGCTGGCAAACATTGTCCACATGACCCTCCCTCTCATCAGCTTCTTCCGCTCTTCCGGCTTCACCTCACCTCATTCCACCTCATCCTGCCTCGCATCCTGCTCCCCCTTAGTAGTGAGTCCTGTCCTCCTCCCTCCTCCTCATTCGCATCCTCCTCCTCCTCCTCCTCCTCCTCCTCCTCCTCCTCCTCCTCCTCCTCCTCCTCCATAAGACGAGTACGACTGCGACGTCGACGACGTCGACCACGCCGACGTCGACGACGGCACCGTCAACGACCACGACGTCGGCGACGCCGACCACCACGACGTCGACGGCGGCCGCGGGCGGTGGCGGCGACCGCGCGGCCGCCGGCGGTGGGCCCCGGCCTCCACGCGAGGGCTGCTGGGCATCACCGTGCCCTGCCCGGGGGGGCCTGGCAGGCGCGGCGCGGGCGCGCGGGCGCCCGGGCCTTCTGCTGGGAGCGAGGGCCGGCCAGCCGAGGCAGCGGCAGCTCAAACTGCTCCTCCCTGGATGGGTCGATCTTCCGCCCTCACTGCTACAGATGGGGGGAGGGAGGAGGGAGGAGGAGGAGGAGGAGGAGGAGGAGGAGGAGGAGGAGGAGGAGGAGGAGGAGGAGAAGGCGGAGGAGGAGGGGGAGAAAGAGGAGGGGGAGGACCTCCCTGGATGGGCCGATGTTGCACCACCACAACGGTCGGACCTAGGACAGACGAACATCCTTCAAGACCATGAGACCCTCCGCCGACCACAACACACCCCAAACCACAAGATCACTCGAGGGAATCACCCCCAGGATGCACAAAAACATCAAACAAATACGAAGAACATTATGGTACGACCTTTTACCTCGGTCCGACTGTACCATGGGTAGAAGAGGGAGGAGAAGGAGGAGGAGGAGGAGGAGGAGGAGGAGGAGCTCCCCATACTCCCTTCTCCCCCGTCCTACCTACGGTAGCGGTGGTGGAAAATTGGCCCAGCATCCCTGGCGCCGCTGCGGTCGCCGCCGCCGCCGTCGCTGTCGAGGTCGCTGTCGCCGTCGCCGTCGACGTTGTCGTTGACGTCCCCGTCGTGGTGAGCGACGTCGTCAACGTCGTAACCGTTGACCTTGACGTCGTCGACGTCGTCGACGTCGTAACCGTTGACGTCGCCGTCGCCATCGCCGTCGACGTCGTCGTGGTTGCCGTCGACGTCGTCAACGTCGTGGTCGTCGCCGACGCCTTGGAGCAGGGCGAGTCGGGACAGCGGCAACCCCGCAGCTCGAAACCAATCCCCGGACCCCCTCCCAGGGTCCGGGCGCACCGCTTTGCCGAGCTGCGCTCAGCCGTGGCGGCGAGGTCGGGAGACTTTTCATGGGGGGGATCCCATGGGGGGATAGGATCCCAGGGGGGGGGATCCTATAGGATCCCCTGGGGATCCGATGGGGGGGCAGGAGGGGATCCCATGGGGGGGATCCCCTCCTGCCCCCCCATGGGATCCCCCCCCATGGAGAGTCTCCCGACGAGGGGACCCCCCGACAGCCGAGACCAACAAGTACCGGTAGCGCTACTCCGCGGACCTCTCCCAGGGCACGTTGCACAGACTCTTGTTGGCTGAACCGCAGTCAGCCTCCTCCTTCTCCTCAATCTCCTCCTTCCGCCTCCGCCTCCGCCTCCTCCTCCCGCCTCCTCCTCCTCCTTCTACTCCTCCTCCTCCTCCTCCTCTGGCTGGCGGATGCTGCCCTGAATGATGCCCCTTCCCCAAGGGGCGCACCTTCTGAGGCTGCGGATCCCGTTCCCGCTGGCTGGGGGTGTCAACGCGACAACCTACCTGGAAAAGGCGCGCCTCTGGCCGAGGGGGCTGGAGGGCGCGGGGGGACGCAGGAGATTCAGCCTCCGCTCCCCCCACCGCTGGCGCAAGAGGCAATGCCGCAGCCTCTGCGCGGACGAGAAGCCAGCCAACGACCAGGAGAAGCACGTCGAGCAGTGCCAGAGAAGGATCTCGCTGAGAGTCCTGGTGGAGCTCTGCGACTCGTTGGCGGAGAGGGAGTTCCAGTTGGCTTGATGCGAAGGCCCTGCGGCCTCAGGCCTTCCTCCAACGTGAGGAGAGGTTCGCGGAGAGTCAGAACCAGCGACGTGGAGGCTGCTGGGCACCTGGGAACCCCAAGAGGGGATCGAGGACGCGGAGATGGAGCAGGCGCCCTGCCGAGCACTCGGGAGGGGCTCGGGGAGGCACGCCAGAGCGGGCCCCGAGCTCGGGCGGAGCCAGGCAGCCCGCGGCCCGAGCGGCAGGGCGGGGGGCGCTGTGACGAAGATGGAGCTGGCGCGCTGCCGAACGCTCAGGAGGGGCTCGGGGAGGCACGCCAGAGCGGGCCCCGGGGATCTTCCGACCCGGGCCAATCCAGACCCGGGTCAGCAGGAAACCAAAAGCTGCAACGCAGGAACAAAAGCACGGCAGCGCAGAGCTCCGCAAACCTGGGTCAGCCACTCGGCGCGGCCGCCCTCGCGGCCACGAGCGGCTCGCGAACCCGGGTCAGCCAGAGGGTCTTCGCAGGATCCTGCGGGATCTGGTGTCCTGACCGACCCCCGTTTGCAGGATCCTGCAGGATCCTGCGGGATCTGGTGTCCTGACTGACCCCCGTTTGCATCGACCCCCGTGGTGCAGGACACCAGATCCCGCAGGATCCTGCAGGATCCTGCGGGATCTGGTGTCCTGACTGACCCCCGTTTGCATCGACCCCCGTCTCCAGGCTCCCGAGGGCCCCGAGTTCGGGCGGAGCCGGGGTGCTCGCGGCCCGAGCGGCAGGGCCAGGAGCTCCGTGGCGTCGGCGCGGCACCCACGTGCTCGGGAGGGGCCTCCTGCGGCGGGCCCGTGGGGGCGGGGGGGCACATGCGGTGTTCCCAGGCGAAAGAAACAGGAAGAGCCACCCCGCCCCCCCCACCAGCGGCTGCGCGGGAGGCGAGGGGCCCCAGGCGCCCGGATGGGCATTCGCTCGGGGTGAACTCCAGGGGGATGGAGCTCAAGAGGCTCGTCGCCATGGCGACGGGGAGCTCGAGGGCGAGGCGTTCGACGTCGTGAGGCCCCTCGGCGATGTCGTGCCCCTCATCTGATGAGGGGGCTGGGCGGGCGCCCGACCCTCGACCTCCGAGGCCCGCGATATCCTCCTCCTCCTCCTCCTCCTCCTCCTCCTCCTCCTCCTCCTCCTCCTCCTCCTCCTCCTCCTCCTCCTCCTCCTCCTCCTCCTCCTCCTCCTCCTCCTCCTCCTCCTCCTCCTCCTCCTCCTCCTCCTCCTCCTCCTCTCCTCCTCCTCCTCCTCCTCCTCCTCCTCTCCTCCTCCTCCTCCTCCTCCTCCCTGTGGGGAAATTGACAGGTGACGGTGCCGCTACTCCGCGGACCTCTCCCGGGGCGCGTTCTGAGCAAAATGTCGAGGCGAATCCAGCGGTGGCGACGAGGGCCGCCTTGGAGGCCCGAAAAGGGGGAAACGAGGGAAGGGTAGCGGTATGGGTACCTTCTCATGCTCTGATCCTCCTCCGCCCCTTTTTCCACGCTCTCCTTATTCCCCAAACAGTGCTTGCACTCAGGGGTTCTTACTTGCGTTCTACAGCACCTGGGCCCCAGTGGCGGTCCAACAGGCCCGTCGCCGCCCGTCGCCGCTGGGCCTCAGGGGGCGGTCTGGCTGGCTCGTCGTCGCGAGGGGGAAAACGGGCGAAGGGTAGCGAAATGGGTACAGTGGAGACCCGACCACAAGAAACCTTCCACAAGAAACCCAACCATGAGACACCAGGACGTCCACTGATTTTTGGTGTGGGATCGTCAAGCTCTCCACCGCAAAGACATCGACGCCCAAAAACCCCGGGGCACCCTGGAGGCAAGCGGGGTGCTTCTTGGCGTGGCCCCCCCCTGCCACCTGTAGTCCTCCTGCAGGAGACCGTTGCCTCACCTCGCCCGGCCCTCCCGTGACCTGCGAGGCCGACCTCGGGGAAGCCGGGCGGGGCTCGAGCAGAGCGCAGCGTCGGAGACCTGGGCCCAGACCCGCCGCTCCGTGCCCGCACGTCCAGGACGGCCCCTGGCAGGGCTCGACCCACAAAAGGGCTTCTCGTTCTCGCTGCCTGCTCGCTTCCCCTCGTCTCGTCTCCGGTCCGCCTTTGCCGGAAGACGAGGTCGAAACGAAAACGGCCCATGAGATGGCCAGAACACCGCTTAAGTCGACCCCTGGCGCCCATGCACCGCACCGTGTTCGGACACCGGTCAGGCCCCGCTCCAACGCGGTACGGTGCGTAATTCTCCAGCCCCAGAGCCACAACACTATGCACCGTACCATCACTTGGTCGAGGATCTACGACGCCTCGGAGACACCAACGCGACACGGTGCACAGTCGTCCGCGGACACATGCCCAGTCCATGTCGCTCACCGCCTGCCAAGGTCCTGGAAGATCGGCCTCTCCTTGGGAAACCAAGTCGGGTGTTGCTAAAGTGCCCCTGGCTCAAGGTGCCCGTAGTCTTTCGCTCCTTTTTGGAGCTCCTGGGGCCCCTCTGGGCCTCATGAGGGGTGCTCTGGATGCCGCGGGGGCCTCCTTGGAAATCCTGAGTGCACCTTGGGCCAGGGGCATTTCTAGCAACCCCCGACCAAAAGGTACTGATACCGCTACTCCCCAGAACTCTCCCGGAGTGCATTCTGACCAGAATCCCACCAGCTCTCTGGACTCTTCCAACCCCCTTCTTCCCCTTCGGGGAGGGGTTTTCAGCTCCTTATTAATATACACCCCTCCCCCAAGTGACCGGGGGCCAACCAAGAACCATGCCGACACCAGGACCACCCGCCCCCCACAATCCCTGTCCAAAAACAATGCAAGCCGCACTCTGCCTCCACGTTTGGAGCATGCGCGGCCAACCCGATGCGGCCCCCCCCACCATCCCTGTAAAAAAACAGTGCAACGTACACTTTGGGGCAAAGTCTTGAGCCATGTTCGTGAGGCCCGCGAGCACTTCGTAGTGGTTTCGACAAGGACGGCGGGGGTGTCAGCATATTCCCTGATGTGCGCAAGGCTACCATCCCTGACAAAGAAACACTACAACATGCACCTCGTGGCTAAATCTGGATGATGCGCGGCCATCCCGCGATGACTGTCAAGTGGTTTTTGACAGGGACGGCGGGGGTGGTAGCGGGTGGCCTGCTGTGCGCAGGCCCAGCAGACACAATGATGGGCATCGGTTTTCGACAAGGATGCCGGGGGCCGACACGTGTGCTGTCACGTGCGCAGGCGCACCTGACGCACTCTGCACGTGCCCCGAACGCGGCGCACCTGGCGCGGCTGGAGTGTGCGGCACACCTGGCGCACTCGGAGCACGTGGCGCATCTGGCGCACCAGGCGTGCCTGGCACGCTCGGGCCCCAGTGGTGCCTGGCGCACGTGGCGCCCCTGGCACGCGTGGCGCACCT